GGGGGGGGGGGGGCGGTTAGTTGGATCACTTTTTCACTGTGGCTACTGGAAATCCGTGAGGAGAATTTTAATAAATTGTGCTGAGCTTTTATAAAGTTCTCAACTTGCAGAGATTTCTCAAATGTTTCACTCAAAATATTTTCTTTGAAAAAGAAACCACACTACCATTTTCATGAAAGAAATGCATGATTTTATGGCAGCGGAGCAGACATCTTCAACCATTATATCTTAAATCACAGTGATACTCTATACCAATGGTGCTTGACTTCCAGTCCGCAGGCCAGATCCGGTCTGCAGAGCTGTGTTATTTAGCAGCACGGAAGTGGTGTTAATTAACGCTGGCTCCATTCTGCTGACGCCAAATTTCCAAGCCCTGTGAGCTAAATGTCATAGGGCATGGAACCAGGGTGTGACTAGCATACAGGGCCCAGTCCAGCACACAGGGACGCAACCACCTGCTGGTCTGGCCTCACGTGCCAGATTGGGCCTACAGACCAGATCCTGCATTAGGATGGACCTCACACCAGTAGTCCAGCCAAAAGGTTAGGCACCACTCCTCTATCCCAGTTAATTGTGTGGAATACTGCAAAGCATCCCAAGACAATCTGGCAAGTGGAAAACTGACAAAAAGCAAAATTTAACCAGCTGAAAGAACTAGTAGTCAAGGGAGAAATGGGAGAAAAATACACAAACTTTCCAAAGTGTATCTATGATTTTCTTGCTTCCCTAATACTGTGCTATCCCCTATCATTTGTTTTTATGGATTTTACTGTGAACCAATTATTGTAAATGGTCTGCAAGGCCTATCCTTCCATCCTCATCTAAACCCAACCTGAAAATAGGCTTCTCATCCAACAGGTTCTATACAGAAGTCTACTTTTATCTTTACCATTTTAGATCCATCCAAAAAGATTACATTGTGTGCACCAAAGTGTACGTCTCAAACTGAGTTTTGCACATTCTTCCTGTCATCCCACCCGTCCCTTCTACTTTTGTCACTCTTACCTGCTGTTACCCATGACATTTCAATAACACCTTCTGTGAAAGAGCTAGCACCCCTCGCCATGTTCTGAACTAGCAAAATGCAGGACAAAAAACTGATCGTCTGATTTAAGACACTTCTACGGAGAATAAATTTAAACATAAAAGCATGCAGAATTTGTTTCAAGAGGGACCTTATTTGTGGCCCTAATTCTAGGCCATTTTTTCCCTTCTTATAATACCATCCCTGACCCTCTTAACTTAGCTGTGCTCCTAAGTTTGTCTCTCCTACAATTTTTAAATATCCACTTTGTGTGTTTAAATCAGAATACCCACTTCTGTAACTGGGCCACACCCTGAGCATCTCTCTTATTCTACATTCCACTTACAGAACAGGTTGAGAACTGCTTTATGGAAGGTATCAGACAAGTCTGAAATTAGGAATTGTCTAAGCATGGCCCTACGGACAGCCAGATTAGCAAAATCCCCAAAAATTAAACTTTAGCAAGGTGACCAAGGAGGGAGGGGGTGGAGGGGGGGATGTTGATGTTCCAATCAAGTGTAGATGAATAAAGAGGCAATGCTTTCCATTTTAATTAAACAAACAAGTGTGTTTATGAGTTCCTGGGCCATGATGCTCCTGGATAAATACCATGCACAAGAGCCTATACAAGAAAAATGGATTTAATTTCATTTGAATAGAGACCAATATAGATGGTTCTATGTCCTTGCACAGCACTTACCATTGATGGGGGCAGGAACTTGGGAGGAGGAAACAAAAATAAATAGGAGTTGCTCACATCAATTTTTGGCTCATCTTAACTGAAAATTAGCCTTGCTTGCATGAATTTATGAATGTTTTTACCCCACCCTCTCAATCAGGGAAAAGTGAATGGGCTTCTCATTATGCCTGACATAAAATAAAGACAAGGGAGTTGACTGAAGAGAAAATAAACTACTATTATTTAGCAGTCTAAAAAAAAATTTCTATCCAATAACTGGCTGAAAATGACACAAAAGAAACAAGGGAACCATTGAAAATACATCCCTTGGAAACATCAAGTTGGGAAGCCACAATTGCATAAGCTTTAATTCTTGTTACTGACACTGTTAATTAGACACATATCTGGACCATCTAAATAAAAACGCAAACAACAATTAACATACAGAAAGTCAGATAAATATATCTAGAGATTTATTGATGGAACAAATCTAATTCTTCACACACAAATCATTTTTAAAAAATCAAATTCTGATAACTGTTAATGGATTGATGTTAGATTGACAACAGATCCCAAGTGGAGTTCTACTGGGGTCTGGTCTGGAACCAATGTTGTTTAACATTTTTATTCAATGACCCACGTGCCAGAATGTACAGTATACTACTCAAGCTTGCACACATCACTCTTAGGTTTACATCTACGCATATAAAATAAATCACACTTTTAGCCTGACACCAGCCCCTACCTCCTCTTTAAATCACTTCCACTTTTAGCCGAATCCACAGGTAGGAGAAATGTGAGAACAGCTGAGGAATGGAGGGAGTGATGTTACTTAGAAGCAAGAGGTGCCTTTATAAACTATGCAGGGTTCACTAGCTACTGCTCCTCTCAGGATTACTGGTTGCCATCATGTCTTCAGCTGCTCCAAGCAGCTCTTCCATGGATCATAGATTCTGCTGTTACACCTCCTCCCACTGGGGTAGCGGAAGATTTTAGTAGTAGTGTATGTCTAAAACAGGCCACTTCATCTCATCTCTATGCTACTGATACTTCTGACCTATACACACTCATGTTCCTCCTCTAGCCTCACATACATTGACAAGCTCACACAACATAACTCATCTGTTCCCTGGATAAGAGGGGGAGGAGATCATCTTTTCAGAGATGATCCCAAAGCCTTCCCTGGGGTTCTCCTGCCAAGAAAAAAACAAACCATTCAAGTGTGAATCAACTGACTAAAAACAGAGTCAACATGAGTTCTCAGTACAAAAGGACAGCAAAAGATATAAAAGAATCAGCAGGAGCACTTGACCACTTTCCATTCATAAGAGAAGATGATCATCTACTAGTGACATTAGTGCAGTTTGTTTCCAATACTCATGCCAAACCCAACTGGGGGAAAAATAAGAAGCAAAGAACCCAAGGCTTCCAAGAAGAATAAAGCTACTTGTACCACCTTAAACTTCCAAAGGCAGACCATCCCTTAACTTCAGTACAAGCTAATTATTCTTAGAGATGCACACTTTTTAATCACTTTCTGTGAACTACTGGACCACAATAATCCTTCAATAAAGTAAAACTTAGATCTTCCATTTGCACCCAGTCAAGTGAATCTTGTTACTGTGCAGCAAGTAATCTGTCATTTCGCTGTTGGATTGATCCAGAAGTCCACTGAAGTTAACTGGAATCTTTTCACTGAATTCAGTGGGCTTTTGTATTAGAAGAAATGGTTGTTTCTTGGTTGTTTCTTGTATTAGAATAAACGGCTGAGATTCCAAAAAGAATCTCATGAAGACTGAGTTCAACTGATCAGCTTTTTAAAGGAAGTCAATTATTCAACCTCAAAGCTGTATTTTCAAACTCAAAGGTTTGAGCAAGCAAGGTGTCAAAAGAAGGGATAATATAGTATCCACCTGTAATGAGAGAAAAAAGGAGGACCAGAGAAATGTAGACTAGTCAGTTCAATTTCAATACTTGAGAAGTTACAAAGCAGGTAATAAAACACTGAATGTACAGATATGTGGTGAATAAAGGAGCAATCACTAGAATTCAACATGAATTTGTGAAGAACATATCATGTCTAATCAACTGGATCACCTTCCTTGAGAGGGTCACTTGTGTCCATAATATATATCAATTTTAGTAAGTCCCACCTGCT